GAATCTGACAGTTACCCAGTTCACTCTTATTGCCCTGCCTGGCTTGCATGTGCAACTCTTTCATTTTTCTGAACATCTTTTGAGCTCAAATACCAGAGAACTGAAGCAGGCTGAGGCCTGCTATCTCGGGACACTTCCCTGTTCCCCCTTCACATGAAAGAGTGTTTCCGGCTCAGGCGAAACTCCTCTGGAAACACACCAAGTCTCTCAGTTGTGAAACACAGAACAATCTGTTCCAGCGATAACAACTCTGCTTGGCCTTTTCTACTCTTGGTCACCTTTGGTGGAGTTGAGAGAAAAAGCATTTGTTTACTTTTACAGTCCTAAAAGAAGCATTTAAATATCATTTTTCCTTTTCCTTTTTTTTTTTTTCTTTTTTGGCTAAATAAAGGGGACTTGACTTAATTATAACTTAAAGGTAAACACTTTTTAATTTTTTTTTTTTTTTTTTTTTTTTTTACAATATTAACAAAACCTCATAGCTTATATAGAGACAGCTAAGTAAGCATTGTGTTAATTGTCCCTCAATATAATAGAGGAATTTAACTTGTGTTTCAGGCAGGTCTGTGATACAACTGCCTATGTGTATCCGTGCAAAGATACAGTAAACTGTGTCCCTGTATCTCTCCATAAACATTTGTTTACATATTTTTACCAGGTTTACAGGATTTAAAGTTTAATGATTCAAGATATATCGATATCAAATCGGATTCAAGATATATCGATATCAAATATCAGTAAACCTGGAAAAGTTGTGCATGATGCAACTAAAACAATTTTATCTACAACTTGTAAATGCTTAAACAAAAACAAATTAAACTGTATGTTTCTGCTTTTAATCTTTCTGCACCATTACTATAAATTGTATTTAATCCACAACATATTCACATATTTTTTTTACTGCTGAATGATCTCAACTGTTTCAACATATTTTATTGATTTTTATTGGATTTCTAAAGTTGTTAGACATATGGCTTAGATGTTCAAAGTCACATAATGATATATATTTTGGATTTATTGGGTTTTAATGGCTCCACGTTAACTTCCGATCATATGGTTTATAGGTTATTGGTCAAAACAGAGCAATAATTCTTGCCATGAAGTCATTTCTCATTATAAACATGAAGTACATGTGCATTTATAGTAAACCTAAAAGGCTGCAATAAGGAAGATTTCATGAACTTTTACATTTAACTCCAAAAAGCATTGTTGATGCCATTAAAAATACATATTTTGATGAAATACACACACAAATACATACATTTCAAATACTTTATTGCATTGGATTAGATGTTTTTCAAGTTATGTGACTTATTTTAAAACAATTGTATCCAGTGGTGAGCAAATGAGCATACAGCAACTGCCATTGAGGTGAATGTTAATGCTAACGGCTAGCGGTTAGCTCTCGCTAGGTAGGCTATCATAGACCTCCTCACTGTGAAATTTTTATGTCCTGGGTTTCCAAGAAACTCTAGCTGCATCTTTATTGTTATTCCCACAATGCATCCAGTGTAGAATGAAACACTGTCTTTCTTGTGAGTTCAGCCTAATATCTCTACAGCAGTCTCTCTCTCTCTCTGGTATGATCGGCTGTTGCTGAATCAGGGAGGTGTGTGTGTGTGTGTGTGAGCGCGAGGCAGGGAGGAGCTCTCTCTTCTGGGAAACGGGCTGTTTAACTGGCAGACTGTGAGTTTACACATGGATCTGTTTAGGAGAGGGGACGAGGAATCCCGCAAGCTCAGAGTTATCTGTCTTCACTCCAGCATGAGACACAAACTCACGCTAGTGTAAGTGAGCATCGACTGGACTGCTCGGTGTTTCCAGTATGCTGGCACACGTGTACAGTAATAATGTGTGCTGGCTGCAGCCCAGTTTCCCATCCAGGACAAGGAAACCCTCACACTGAGTTCGGGCACTGATGATGCATATTTAAGTGAGCTGGATACCGCATGTAGGCTAAACACCACCCTCCATTAGTGCTGCTTGTTCAATCAAGCTTATCGTAACTTTACTGTAAAGTCTCATTTCTTAATTAATGCATTATATAAATATAAGGCTATACCCATATGTGTGTGTGTGTGTATCCATTTTAAAACCTGTCAATTTTTGTTGATATAGACATAAACAAAAATTGTATGTATGTTAAAAAAATAATGATATATGCAAAGTTTTTTCTTTTTCTGTGTTGTTTTCGTAAACATGCATGGTCGGTACATATATTAAAAAAAAAATCATATTAACTTGGTTTAGTATACAAATGTTGGTAGCACTTTATTTCACAGTCCTGTTCCCGATGTACTGTACATGTACTAGTAATTACACTAATTGGGTAATAACCAGTTACTGAACCTACCCCTAAAACTATTAACCCGTTTAGTTACCGTATCTTACCCTGTACTTTCTAAGTAGTACACTGTAAGTGCATGTACTGTAAAATAAAGTGCAACCCATGTGCATTTTAGTTGTTATATGCACATATCTTCATAATATTACCAGATAAGACATACAGCAGTCATTATGGAATATATTATGTTTCTGAATGGGATTAGTCATTACATCCTCATTGTCTGCAAGTAGATGATGGCAGCTTGAATTTATTTCTTAAGCTTTTAATCCATGAAATTCATGCGATAAATGTTTCAAGTCATTTCAATTTGGAAGTGACCATAAGTGATTGTCAGTGGGTCAGATGTTTATTTATGCTAGTCTGACCTGTCAGGTTGTTGCAAACCTGATCATAGACGGCCATTATACAGTAGGCTACCACTGACAGAGTGATCATCCAATCACAGCCCAGTGAAGGCCCTGTAACCTATCATGTGACTCTTTACCTGAGGCTCAGGTTCACACCACAATCATTAGCTCAGTGAGAACACAATGTTCTGAAGGGAAGCAAGAGAGACACTTGCTGAATTAGGAAACACATTCTAGCATACTATACATGATTTGTTTTCCTCAGAGTATAGTATAGTATAGTATAGTATAGTATGTGGTTTCAAATTCAGCTTATGATCTCATGGGAAGCAAAAGAACAACACTACTCTTAACTATTTCTGTCATAGAAAGATATGGCATAAGAGTAGTATGCTAGTATGTGTTTCTGAATTCAGCACCTACCTTCCTCTGAAACTTAAAACAAGTATTGTACACATTATTAGAACTCACATTTCGTACGATTTGTGTTTTCCTTTTTTTTTTTTTAAGAATGCACTCTTTTGCCTTAACATACATAATATGAGATGATGTCCAATACTGAATGGCAGATCTAGTTTCACAACAGAAAAATGTCCCAGCACATCTATTGTTCACTTGTCCGGTTTGTTAAAAGGCCCTTGGCTGAAGACACTGTGTTCTCACGTGTTCTCGCTTCCCAAAACTAGGCGTAAAATTACCAAAACAAATAGCATTCCTTCTGGTTTCGTTTCAATCCCATGTTATGCTCTCTATCTCTCTCTTTCTCTCGTTTCTGGAAAATGTCAGATTTCACAAAAGCACATCAAACACCCCTCTGTTCCTCGAGAGTGTGTTATCAGGAGAGCTGACAGAGTGTGTGTGTGTGTGTGTTTACTATAAGAGTGTGTCATGAGGAAATATCTCAGCTGGCTGACTGACCGTTGGGAGTATTGATAAGAAGAAGTCCATAAAAGTCTTTAAATATATATGACAGTTTTCTGTAAACTGTGTCGCAACTGTTTTGAGCCCAGGAAAGACAAGGAAACGTATAGCTCTTCCCAAACAACATTTCCCGTCATAACAGTAAATCTTTCATAATGTTATGCAACTAACAACATGTCCTTACAATAAGGTTAGGAATAGGGTTTGGTTTATGGTTAATTAACATTACTCAGTACTTGTATAACTGTAATAAATGTATAATTACACACTGCACCAACGATGAAGGGTTACACTATTTTAAGGTTTAATTGTTACAGTGTAATTATATATTTAAGTACTGAGTAATATTAATCAACTACATGTACTTACCATAGGATTAGGATTTGGTTGAGGGTTAGTTGCATGCAATTATGCATTATTTTCTGTACAAAGTACATGTAACATAATAACAAGGACACTGTGTTACCAAATAAAGTGTAGCCGAAACTCACTGAATCCCCTAATCTCTCCTTCTGAGCAGGATCAGTTGCACAGATGTCATGATGCCGCCCCCTGCTGGTATTCATCATACACTGCGTATGAATTGTGTTCATGTTTTTATTGAGCAACTGCAATCTTTCCAGGAGAGAGAAACAGCTGATCTCAGAGCGTGTGTGACTGAACCAGATGAAGACAGAAAGCAAAACACAACCACATCTGCTATAATATCTTTATTTCAGCATGATCTGGCTACCACTACAATGGTATCGACCTCCAGAAAATCAAAAAAAAAGAAAAAAAAAGAAAGAAAAATAGCACTCAACTACTACAATACTGCTACACACAGTACACACATTTATAAAATGGAAACCAATATTCTCTATACACTAAAGTATGTACATCTTTGATAAATTAAACCAATACTGCTTAGATTGAATATTTAGCGTGTAGAATAACTGCTAGACTGATGAAGAAGGGGTGACTGGAGAAACGCGAGCAGGCACTGGAGCATCCCGAGGACTTTCAGCTGTTGTTAGGCACATTTACTCACTTTATGATAAGCGTTTTATTGGGAGGTCTGGGTTAAAAGACCTCGTGGAAAATACAAACATTCCCATCTGTTAATTACCGTCCGGTCTGTCTGAGAGGTAGTACCAATGCATGACATCCTTGTAATGACGATATCCCAGAATCCTTAGCTGGCCAGCATTCATCCGTTCTGCTTATGTCTGTGAACGCTGCCAATATACAAAGCAGCTTCACACAACACACACTATACGCATGTGGCATCTCAAGAGACGCCAAGAAAACGAACACACGCCTGTGGAGCCGTTTACCGCATCTGGGGGGATTTCACCACCCTTTCCTTTTCTGTTCTGCAAATAATAGACGTTTCTTTTAAAACATCAACAACTTTGTTTTTTTTACAATTAAATACACAAATAAACCTCTGAGGACTAAGCCGCTTTTGTGCACGATACAAAATGTAAAAATACACTTATTGCCTGTACATTTCATAGCACACAGGAAATCTTCCTTTTTCTGACGCACGTAGGAACTTTCGTTTGGTTTTCCACATTCTGTCAGACCTGCTGATTTCAGATAATGCAAGTGCGCGCGTGTGCAAGAGAGACGAGAGGGATAGAGAGAGGATAGAGAGAGAGAGAGACAGAAAGAGCGTATTTTGGTTAAGCATGAGGAAAAATGTTCTCTTTGGGGGTTTCAAGGAAGCATTAGAGAGTTAAAAATCCCACTGACTTCCTTCTACACACACACACACACACACACACACACACACACACACACACACACACACACACACACACACACACACACACACACACACACACACACACACGCTTGAGCTGAGCAAGAAGACGTTTAAAAAGAGTGGAGCAGGTCTTGGTGAAGTTGGGGGTTGTGTTCGACTCTTCACAGCTCAACTGTCTCCAGTAGTCCTGAATGTGTAACACCTGAGCATCTCTAGTGTCTCTTCACAGAGGACACCTTCTTCTTCCTCGCTGCCAGCATCTCGTAGAAAGGGTCTCTGCTGATGGCCGCTCTGGAGAGGAAGAGGAAGAATAATATGAAAAACTGCTCCATTATGCTTTTTTCAGATGTTACCTTCCATGCAGTGTGTAATATCACAACAGACTGAGCCATCTGACCAATCAGAGCAGAGTAGACCCAAATTAAATGGCTGCATGTACAGCAGAATCTCACTGTGCGGACGAGCAACACTCACTTGATGCTGTTCATCCACTCGTCTTTCTCCTCGGTGGTGGGAGCAGAGATGCGGTAGAACGTGTGATTGCCCTCCACCACGCGTCCGTCCGCCTCCGTCTTGCACGCCTTGATCACCTGGTCCTTATTATCGGGGATGAAGAGCTCGAAGCAGTTCTGAGAAGCAAACACAAGCGGGCCGTCACACATCTGACCACTAGGAGGAGAAGTCAAGTGTAGAAGAGCGGGTAACACTTTACTTGAAGGGGTGTGCGTAAGACTGACATGACACCTTCATAATCATGACATGCATGTCATGAATATGAAGGAGGTTTTATGCATGTTTATGGCAACTGTCATTAAGTGTCATTCGCTCAATCATGACATTTTTAATGCAAATATGACATTGTTTGAGATGTCTTTGTCATGACACCTTGACATAAACCAATGCATCATAACCTGTCAGTGTCTTTATGACAACTTGACATTACTAAGACAACACAACCTGTCATAAATATGTCATATACATGACATAGCAGATTAATTATCAGACTTAGGAAAGCACTTAGCTTTATGGGTTAACATTACATTAAACTGTCATGTGGTTGGTTTTGACATTGGCTGTCATGAAGCCATTATAACTGTGTCATGAGGCATTATAACTGTGTCATGAGGCATTATAACTGTGCATTATAACTGTGTCATGAGCCATTATAACTGTGTCATGAGGCATTATAACTGTCATGAGGCATTATAACTGTGTCATGAGGCATTATAACTGTGTCATGAGCCATTATAACTGTGTCATGAGCCATTATAACTGTGTCATGAGGCATTATAACTGTGTCATGAGGCATTATAACTGTGTCATGAGGCATTATAACTGTCATGAGGCATTATAACTGTCATGAGGCATTATAACTGTGTCATGAGGCATTATAACTGTCATGAGGCATTATAACTGTCTCATGAGGCATTATAACTGTGTCATGAGGCATTATAACTGTGTCATGAGCCATTATAACTGTGTCATGAGCCATTATAACTGTGTCATGAGGCATTATAACTGTGTCATGAGGCATTATAACTGTGTCATGAGGCATTTTAACTGTGTCATGAGGCATTATAACGGTCATGAGGCATTATAACGGTCATGAGGCATTATAACTGTGTCATGAGGCATTATAACTGTGTCATGAGCCATTATAACTGTGTCATGAGGCATTATAACTGTGTCATGAGGCATTATAACGGTGTCATGAGGCATTATAACTGTGTCATGAGGCATTTTTCTTGACCTCAACTACAGTGGTACACATTGAATATGTCATTAAAATGTTATAATGGCCTCATGACAGCCAATGTCAAAACCAACCACATGACAGTTTAATGTAATGTTAACCCATAAAGCTAAGTGCTTTAAGTCTGATAATTATTCTGCTATGTCATGTTTATGACATATTTATGACAGGTTGTGTTGTCTCAGTAATGTCAAGTTGTCAAAGACACTGACAGGTTATGATGTATTGGTTTATGTCAAGGTGTCATAAAGACATCTCAAACTATGTCATATTTGCATAAAAAATTTCATAATTGAGCGAATGACACTTAATGACAGTTGTCATAAAACATGCATAAACCCTCCTTCATATTCATGATGTGTGTCATGTCATGATTATGAAGGTGTCGTGTCAGTCTTATGCACTCAAGTAAAGAGTTACCGAAGAGGGTTAGAATCAAGCGAAATTCATTACTTTTTATAGCGCGTCTCAGTGTCCGGACACCTTTGGGACCCTATTCCCAATATAATATGATTTGGGACGCACTACTCCTAGCACACTATAGTATTGGGATGCAGCCAAAGTGTTGAATTCCCTCAAGGTAACGGAGCATTATGCAAACATAGCAAATGTTTCCTCCACACACCGGATCAGAGGAAACATGAACTGTCTCCAGATAATCAGGAAAAGATTCGGAGTTTACCGGTTTCTTGTCCTCCACTTCACGGATGCTGAGGTTTTCCAGAGGGATGATGCCTCTTGGTTCCTTATCCTACATGAAAAGAGACACTTTAGTTTATGTTTAGCATAATTTCTTAATATATATATATATATATTAGTGTACATATTAGACCAGCATGTTTCTGGATACATTTAGAAGCATGATCATTTTTGTTTCAAACACAGATCACGATTCTCCCTCATTCTGAATAGACAACTGAACAAAATAACATGTCGTTTTCTAGAGGTTCTGATAAAATGTTAATTGCTGCAATCAATTTAAAAACAATTAATTGATTTGATTAAAAGATTATTCAATGACTCGTCACTTGTTCAAAAAACGTCACTTGTTTAATGACTGGATGAATCGCAGTTTTAAAACAAATCTCTTGAATGAATGAATGATTCAATGGCAAACACATTGTGTTAACAATCACTTGTCCCCACCAACCTGTGTAACATTATAATCGATATTTAATGCGTCATGTTACTTTCAAAATGTGATTTGATCTATTTTGATCACTACCGTAGACATCAGGGTTTATAACCGAACTATAACTTTTATCCTTCTGTGATAATATTAATATTTGAGGGACAGAAGTACTGATACTGTGTGGTATTAAAGAGTGTTTGTGAAGCGGTTTCATATCTATAGTGTACATGAACTGTGATTCTGTCAAATGTTTAATAGACAGGAGAATCGTTGTCTTTAAAGTCCCACTCCGATCATATTTTGAGCTATTTTTAAACATTCCCAGTGGTCTTTAAATTATGATTATGCCATTTTTAGCCCAAATCACAAAATCTGTGCCGTTTTCTGGGACTTCGCTTCAGCAGAGCGGCAGTAGCTCATTAGCAATTCGCCTCTGCGTTGTGGGCGGAGCCGTTGGCACGGAGACGACCCTCCCCCTGCCCGTTGCTGAGAGCTCTGTCTCTCCCGCTAGCTTACACCCCCAATACCGGTGGGGCAACAGTATTATATACACGTTAATTATTATTATCCGAAGTTAATCAAAGTTATCACAGATCACTGATCATTATGTCACTCCAAGACGTCGCGTGTGGAGACGCCCAGTGGAGTTACTACGTCACAACTCCAGTCTATTTTAGCCGGCATTTTAGCGTCTGCTACTGATTCACAGCCATTCGAATGTAGAAATACTCAGAAATACAACTTTGAGCTTATTTTTCTCAAGATATGTCCACTAACATCAGAAAAATGCCACAAGAACATGTTAACACCTAGAAAAACATTATTTTCATCGGAGTGGGTCTTTAAGGAATAAGATAACGTGGGTGTTTGAATTTGAATCAAGATCGCGATCTTTTAACAATTAATCATGCAGCTCTAATATATACACTCACCTAAAGGATTATTAGGAACACCATACTAATACTGTGTTTGACCCCCTTTCGCCTTCAGAACTGCCTTAATTCTACGTGGCATTGATTCAACAAGGTGCTGAAAGCATTCTTTAGAAATGTTGGCCCATATTGATAGGATAGCATCTTGCAGTTGATGGAGATTTGTGGGATGCACATCCAGGACACGAAGCTCCCGTTCCACCACATCCCAAAGATGCTCTATTGGGTTGAGATCTGGTGACTGTGGGGGCCATTTTAGTACAGTGAACTCATTGTCATGTTCAAGAAACCAATTTGAAATGATTCGAGCTTTGTGACATGCTGCATTATCCTGCTGGAAGTAGCCATCAGAGGATGGGTACATGGTGGCCATAAAGGGATGGACATGGTCAGAAACAATGCTCAGGTAGGCCGTGGCATTTAAACGATGCCCAATTGGCACTAAGAGGCCTAAAGTGTGCCAGGAAAACATCCCCCACACCATTACACCACCACCACCACCAGCCTGCACAGTGGTAACAAGGCATGATGGTTCCATGTTCTCATTCTGTTTACGCCAAATTCTGACTCTACCATCTGAATGTCTCAACAGAAATCGAGACTCATCAGACCAGGCAACATCTTTCCAGTCTTCAACTGTCCAATTTTGGTGAGCTCTTGCAAATTGTAGCCTCTTTTTCCTATTTGTAGTGGAGATGAGTGGTACCTGGTGGGGTCTTCTGCTGTTGTAGCCCATAAGAGGAGCAGTGTCCGCAGACTCAATGCTTGTAAAATGGGAAATAACCCTTCTGATCGGTCGGTGTATTTTTGCTTTATACATTTTAGGCTTATTCTCAAATTCAGATTGTGTTAGGGGGGTGGGATTATTAGGCCATTTTAATCGGACAATTTGACCGGAGAGATTTAATTTTTTCTGACATTTCATTTTTTTCCTGGCTAATTACCGGACAACGGAAACCCTGATATATATATATATATATATATATATAAATGACGTACTGCAGCATGCCATGTGTTGTCAGTACTTACAGTAGTGTACTCAAAGTAGTAAAGGCAGTTATCAGTGAGGATGAACCAACGCCTCTTCCAGGTTTTGACACGTCCTCCTGAGGAGCAACAGAGGAGCGTTAGTCTCCCGCACACGAGCCGTCAGACGAGCAGCTGAAGAGTTGAGCGGCAGAGGAGCAGACAGACAGACGGACAGACAGATGGACAGACATGAGCTCTTCTACAGCCACTCCACGTCCAGTAAGCATTCCTTACCAGCAGCACACCATGCTCAAACCAGTCCAGCAGTGACCCTCCACAGCGATCACACACACCTGACAGCTGTCCCACTGAAAGACCCCTGAACCTCCTAACGCCCCGACGAGGGACCAGGGGGGACCCGTGTGATGCGCACCTATACATCACTTCAGCGCTCGATGTGTGAGCCTGGACCACAAAACCAGTCACATGGGTCACAATTATGTGATTGAGACTCATACATCACCTGAACGCTGAATAAATAAGCTTCCCATTGACGCATTGGTTTGTTAGTTTGTTAGGATAGGACAATATTTGTCCGAGATTTGGAAATCTGGAATCTGAGGGTGCAAAAAAATCGAAACATTGAGAAAATCTTCTTTAAAGTTGTGCGTGTTCGTGATTGTGCTGCATTCACTCACACAAATACGTGTTTTATATTTTTACGGTAGGAAATTTACAAAATATCTTCATGAAATGTGATCTTTACTTAATATCCTAATGATTTTTGGCATAAAAGAAAACTTGATAATTTTACCCATACAATGGGTTGTTGGCTATTGCCACAAATACACCCGTGCGACTCGTGACTGATTTTGTGGTCCAGCAGGGTCACATATGGTGATTATCACACTGTGTTAGTAATCTGCTATCAGGCTGAGCTCATTTCCCACGTCCCTCTCTATAGAGGCAAACAGTGACCAGAGGATGACCTCTGACCTCTGCTGGGAGACCTGATCGCACTGGCAAAGGAGACGCCTGTACAACTAATAGACACTATAGTGCAACCAAAACACTTTTATCTAAGTGTGTGTGTCAGGGTAGTTGATGCATAACATGCCCATAGGCATTTGTTTCATATTTTATTAATCATAACTAAATAAAAAAGGGGGGAAAGAAGAATATTATACAGGGGAAGGTATATTCCCATCTATTCAGCGTTTCGTCTTCACATTATAATGCAGCTGATTCTGCAGTAAAAGTACTGTACAAATATCATATGAAGTCTCTCATAAAATCTGCATTCATAATGACTATAACATAATTAGCAGAACGCCGTTTAGGCCTGTCGCGATTATTGATCAATTGTCTGATTGCGGTTATTCGATCTTATTGCAAATATTTGAGGTAATTGTGCAGCTTAAACTTCAGTCACATTTTGCACAATTAAATTTTAGCAAAAATATTCAAAATGTTATTATGAAGGATCATGTGACCGGCCTGCTGAAAATTCAGGAATTAACTACATTTTAAAATATGTTAAAATAGAAAATACTTATTTTAAATTATAATAATATTTGATTATTTTACTGCATTTTTGATTAAATAAATACAGCCTTCTTTCAAAAACATTAAAAAAAGTTGATTATTTTAAAAGTTTGACCTTTATTACATTATATTATAGTTATAGAAGTTATATTATATTTTGAGAAATATTTAAACTTTCAAAACATTATTTTCACAGCAGTAAAGAAAGATTGTGTTTCCAAGAGAAATATTTGATCAGCTCAAAATTGATGACGTGACAGGCCTAATGTTATTAAAGTAGTTTCCCATGACATCTGGCATGTCCAGCCCCCTAAAGCTGTCCTGATCCCCATCCCGGTCCTCCTGCGCTGTATCCCAGTCCTGGCAGGAGCGGCGGACACACGGACACGCATCAGAGTCTCCGAGCAAGCTGATTGGCTGAGTTATGAATGACTCCGGTCGGGAAGCGTCTCTCAAAGGGAGAAGGGAGTGAGGACTGGCCTTCAGTCATCTCTCACCACACAACAGGAAATCACATCTTTGGATGTTTTATTTTTTTTTATATTATAATCACACTTTACATTAGGGTGCAATTCTAACTATTAACTATGACTTTTGCCTCAATAACTCATACTTACTGCTTATTAACAGTTAGTAAGGTAGTTGTTAAGTTCAGGTATTGGGTTGGAATAAGGTCATGCAGAATAAAAGGCATTAATATTTGCTTTAGAAGTACTAATACACAGCCAATATTCTAGTAAATATGCATGATGATAAGCCACTTGTTAATAGGGGGAATTGGACCCTAAACTAAAGTGCTACTGAATTTATTACATGAATGCTGATGTAAATGAAATTGAACACTTTAGATTTGGTTTTATTTTGGTGTCAGCCTTCGTGATGTCAGTCTGATCCATCAAATGAAACCCACCTTCACCCAGCATCATAGTGGTGAGTCCGATCTGACCACACACACACACACACACACACACACACACACACACACACACACACACACACACACACACACACACACACACACACACACACACACACACACACACACACACACTTTCCTCAGCGCTGCAGTCCAGCATCTCACACACACACACACACACACACTTTCCTCAGCGCTGCAGTCCAGCATCACACATATATACACACACACACACACACACTTTACGTAGAGCATGACGAGTAGCAGTCTTTGGTCCAGGTGCAGTTTTCTGACTCAGTCTAAACGGATCAAACACATCATGTTCACTCGTCCAGCCATTCAACCAATAGCAGTGAAGCGACTGAACGTCATTTTTAAAGGAAGAGTTCACAGAGAAATGAAAAACCTGTCATCATTTTTCCCAAACGGGTATGAGTCCCTTCTTCCTTAAACACAAAAGAGGACGTTTTGAAGAAAGTCCGAGCTGCTCTTTTCCATACAAATGGGGATGGGCGATATGAGCAAAAACCTGTGTTACGATATCAGTCATTTTATTTCACTATAACAATATAAATCAAGATACAGTTATTTTGCCTGAAATAAGGTTGTGTCATCAAAACCTTAGACACAATTGAAATTTCATAATTATCGACAATTAATACTAAACCTAGTCTAATGTGAGTAGAGTAAACAAGTAAAGAACAGTCAGTAAGAGAATATGAACAAAGAAGCTATTTATGAAAAACTGAAAAAATAAATACAACAGGAAAAAAAGATACAAATGAAATAAATAGTGCTTGAAGTTTTTCAGGTCTACAAATCAAATGTAAAAAAAGAAAAGAAAAGTATTTTCTGTATGAATTAAAGCTATAAAAGTCATTCAGTCAAGAACAGTGTGTGATTTTCTCTTTGTATTATTATTTTGTGTGTGTAATTAACACAGACAGGCATCAGGTTTATTAGGCGGCTGTCACTTTAAGACCGAATGCACAGATCTAATGAATTGACACAGTATATGTCTATGTTTATTCAAGAAATAACTGACTGCGTTTACAAGGACACTCACCAACACGGGCATTTTGACATAAGTGTGTGTGTGTGTGTCTGCCCGTTCAAAAACGATAAGACGCACACGAGCTGACGAGAGCCAAAACCGAGGCTTAAAACCTTTATGACGGCACATTAACCTGAATAAGGCCAGACGCTGTTCCTCGGGAGAAAGTCATATGAGTTTGGTGAGGAAACAATGACAGATTTTTCATTTTTGAGTGAACTATCCTTTAATCGTACATGTTTCATTTTCTTTGTTGCTGTTTTCATTGGTGTTTGTAGGGCTCCGTTCAGACTGAGAGGAAGCAGAAAACACTGCAGCTCCCAAAGTGGAAATGACACAGAGAGAGAGAGAGAGAGAGAGAGAGAGAGAGAGAGAGAGAGAGAGAGAGAGAGAGAGAGAGAGAGAGAGAGAGAGAGAGAGAGAGAGAGACACCACAGCAAACAGAGAGAGGTGCTGTTCAATACACTGGCCACAAAATCAAACCCCAAGCACCCGCCACCATACAGAGACAGGGCGGCACGTGGACGAGTCGCTGATTCGATGGATAAAAGGAGCCGTCAGACAGACAAATGAAGGAACATGTAAAAACTAGAGTAAACTCATGGAAAGACGGACCCCATGGGAAATGATGACCCTACAGTGGCTAACAACAGAAACAGGGGACAGGAAGCAAGGCTGGATCACCAAAAGCACCTGCGAGCGGAGAGATGAGCGATTGCTTGGGAAGAACAGGTGTACATACCTCCTGAGGGAAAGACAACAGCCAAAATCATGGGAACAAACAAACAAATGAGGAAGAAAAGGAAACAAAAATAATTAAATTAAATAGGAAATCATACTCCCCACACGCGCTGCCTCTCTGATCAAAGAAAGTACTGTGAGTCACAGAGGAACGCTCCAAAAATAAAACAGGGAATCAAAGTACAAGTGGAATCAGCAGACATTCAATTCACAATTACTTTCCCTGTCCGTGTATGCGGAAGAGGACGACGTGTCCTCTCAGGAGCGTTTAGGCCCGGGCTATAATAATAATAATAATAAGCATGTAGTAGTATACATAATCTACTCAGTTATGATTCTTAATTCAGATCCTTATTCAGTAAATATTGCTGTGGGCCTTGGATTTTAAAAAGTTGAGAACTCGCCTATATCGCATTCATAAGACAACTTATCCTTATGAACAATCTTAATGAAAGTTATTACAGCGATAAGGCTTCACTCGGGTTAACAATCAGTGTAGCAGATGCTAATCTTCAAGCAATTGTTACACGAACGAATCAGAATCATTCAAATAACTAGTGTGTTTACAGTTGCTAAGCAACGCGCCAACTTGGCACATAAACATAGAAAGATGTGCGTTTATGAGTATAATTCATCATAATTCAAGACGTTATAATGTAATATTATACTCATTAGCGGCGTAGCCGTGAACATTAAGTATTATACAGAAACTCCTGAAACCTGTTTATGACAATATTGCAGATTACAAAGGGGAGCTAGAGTAAGTTTATGAGTAGACTTATAATACTTTATTTCTAGTGTCTCATCTGCAGCTTGAGATATTGATTCCCAGCATCCAGCTCTGATTAAACTCGTGCTTCACTATGATCATCAAGTGTTATTACCTTCATATGATGTGAGAAGAGACACTGTATAGTGTGTGAGGATCGTCAGACGAGCTTATAGAAGTGAGTGTGTGACGGCCTTACATCTCACTCGTGTGTTTGTACCGGACACTTCTTACTCAAACGTAGGTGTCGTCACCTTTACTCATGTAGTCCCACTCACCCAGTTTGAGCAGCCAGCCCTCTCTGTCCGGGTTGAAGAAAGTGTGTGTCAAGTCGTTGCCGTCATCCTCTGGGATTTTGAAGGGCTCGTTCTTGATGCTGTCATACAGGTTCTGTAGGAGTCAAAGCAAGACTATGAAGCTCAAAAGATGAACGAACACACACACTCCACCTACAGAACGGCCTCAAATATCCTTACAAGGAGAGACAGATGACACTATAGAGTGCCTGCAAAAAAGTTATTCATTGTTGGATAATATCATCTAGTCTAGAAAGTGGGACCATTCACTGTTTCCCACTTCCTGCCCATATATATATATACACACACAGTCAAACTAATATGTTAACATATTCAGTGATTACATTTCTATAATTTCAAATGTGACTATAGAAACATTCATCAATCACACAATCCACACATCGCTACTGGACTATTCCTGTAAACACAGTGATCAACGCTCTATTCTGAACATGTTTTCTTTCATTTCCTGCTATTCTGTTCTGCTCATTCATTCACCATTTATTACTCTGCATTTTAGTCATTTAATCATGTAATGTATTTTCATTTACGTCCTCAATTATACCCGACGGGCGAACAAAGACAGATGAGAGAAAGACGAATTAGAAAATGTAGACCAACAATCCCTTTGAATGTCAAGCTGTTATTTCTCAACTCAGCTTTCAGACCAGACAATTATGCAAAAATGAAAAATGTAGTTTTTGGTTACATTATTAATGGAAATTTGCCTTTTTGGCCCTTTTTTCCAATTTTACTTTTGCTAAATTGAGAGTTCAGAAACAAACATTTGAATAAATTAAATCTAAACGATTTTCTATTAGCGCCGTGGGCGGTACCATTAGCACGGGGTGTGGACTAACTTTACTATCATTTCATTGATGTAACTGCTTTATTTACACTGCACGCGTGTTGAGGAGAAGTTTAAACCACTGAACACTAGGGCTGGGTAAAAAAATATCGATTTCTCGATATTAATCGATTCTCATTTTTACGAACCGATATCGATTCTTAAATCTCAACAATCGATTAGTCATCCTGTTTTCATTTGATGAATGAATGGAACATTGTAGCACTCATCCCATCCAATAAATCGCAATAATCTTTGTGCTTTGTTACTATTGATACTAAATAAAGTCTCAAATTACGTCCATTTTCTTACGAAATTCAAAAACATAAATAGCGTTTTGGCGCTGTGGCGTGAGATCGCTCTGGCTGAGCTCAAGAGAAGCACATGATCTCCTCTTCTGCCTTAACAATACCAGTTACAGCGCGAAGTAAACATGAATGAGCGTCTGAAAGTGTGTTAAAAGATAGAGTACAACTTATCGAAATCCGTATCATCTCACATGGAATCGCTCAATCTGTGTTTCACCCGTGGAAAGACGTCAGTAAAACAACTTGTAAACAATGTCATGTAACGTCACATTTACCTCAGAAAAACCATATGTGACCATAAACTCGTTAGTCAGCTAGAAAAATTAACTCTAAAGAGGAGCATTTTGCTAAATATATGCACCATATTACATATTCATTATAATTTTGAATGTTCTTCGATATTTAATGCATGTTTGAATAAATCTGGGAAGTTTTTATGACAGCCACCATTTAAATGTTTATATTTCATATAACTTTATTATTATAAAAATAAATAAAAGTGTAATTTAAGTGTTTGTATAGCTACAAATCAGTTCATTTTTACCTTCAATATTATAGTAGGCTAATGAAGCCTAAGTAGGCTACAACTGACTCCCATAGTTTACAGCATTAGTTAAGAGATTTGTTTTCCTTGAGAACATTTGCCATGTATTGTACCTGATATCCAAAATAATCAATGTTGAATCGGAATCGAATCGAATTGCAAGCTTGTGAATCGAAATCACATCGAATTGTGAAATTTGTGTCAATACCCAGCCCTACTGAACACAGAGGACGACCTTTTTCACCCAAAGTGCCATAATTTTATTATTAACAGTCTAACTGTGCTAAATTATAAGGCCGTCTCGGACTGGCCATCGGGAGCAGCCAGGAAAAGTGAAATCCCGGTGGCCTGGGGACTGAGTTGGCACATCGCCCTTGTTTGTATTTTCCCTACTTATTTGTTCTTACTTTACTTTATTAATAGACCTTATACTGTTGTTCATTTTGCACGGTACAGTACAACCACAAGATCACACGAGATGTTTGTTTCTCAAGTCACAATTTAGAAAAAAGTATCTATTGATTTTGTTTTTTTGCATTTTGCATTGTACGGTGTGCAAACTATATTGTGAAGCGTTACACGGACCGTGCGGCGAGTGTTTTCTAAGAAGCGCTGGGGAAAGTGAATCGGGATAAGGGACAAAGAGGGCATACAGCGCTACCACAATAACACAAACACAAGAATATAACAGCATCTACAGGCGTAAGAGGAGACCAACCCTGAGCAGGTCCTCCGGCAGGTCTCCGCCCTCATTGATGCCTCTGTTCATGGAGATGAAGCGCTCCACTGGGGGCTTGTCCTTCACGTTTGGGTTGTGAAGGCTGGTGTTCAACATGATGATGGCGAACGACAAAATGTAGCACGTGTCTGCACACAAACAAGCAGCTCGTTACAACCATCCACACTGACATTGCTTCTGATTCAGCATTTTCACAGGCACACTGGCTCCTTAAAAATGTCACGCTCATAACTCGAGTGAATGCTAATGAGGACGACTGTGGAGTTACAGAGATCATGACAAGAACGTCCTGGACGGAAGAGAGTCTAATACATCTACAGCAAAAAAATGTGTGTGGGATTTTTACACACTGCTAGCATTACACAATACAAGTTGTTGCCATTTGCCAGGAAACTTTCATTTAACTATATTTACATGTGTTTTAAATCTCGGCTACTTCGATATTTCCAGCTCTCAATTCATGAGTATTTACTAGGGAAAGCTAGCCTGGCTAAAACCAGACCATTCTCAGTTGTAACTGAGTTATGGTCTGGCAAAGCGTCATAGACAAATCATTTCCAGAGGGGCGTCACCAACGGACGTCGCGGAGAGACCTAAACCCAATCAGAGCGATGAAGGAGATGGCGTATGCAGAGCGGCGGAGACACATCTCCCAGTGTTGTTCTTTGCTCGGTTTTTAACAAAAAGGAAACGTTCAAATCGCTTAAAACAGACGCGATAGCTGATTCGAACGAGTGATGTTCGACGGCGGCATCCATCTTTGTAATGTAGGCGACAAAATCTGCTTCAAAATCCCAGCGCTGTCGTCATCGTGTAAAGCCCGCCCCAACGCTTCTGATTGGTGCCTCGATTTCGACGGATTGGAAATGGGCTTGAATGAGCTCTTTGCCAGACTAACTCTCAGAGCAAATCTAAATTTGCCGGAAGTTGTCTGGGTTTTCCCAGGCTAAGGGAAAGCAGAATTGGTGAAACACTGCTCATGTTTCTTGGATATGTTATTAATGCAGGTTTAAAGGTGCAGTCTGTAAGAATGACAACTAGTGGTCGAAATAGGTACTGCAGCCGGATAAAAATATCGGAGATCGCCTTTTCTCCCGCCTCCTGCTCCTCAGACGGGACGGCGCTCACACGGGTCGCCAGTTTGAGCACACGCAACGGGAACGAGCGCAACGGACAATGAAAATTGGCAGCGTTCAGTATCACAGACCAAGAAAATAACAAACATCCCAGCCTGGAAACACACATTTCACAGTAAAATAACCGGTGTTTTTTCAGAGAATCTAGTATGTGAACTTAGCATGTTTCCTCAATTTATGTAAACATATTAAGATATTTTTATGCTTTAGTAGAGTGATAAAGTCATATACCGAACACAGACTACAGTGTAAAGTAGACCCACCTGTGGACTGAAAGACTCCCGGGTTGCATTGGCAGTAGCGCTGGGCAAACGCCTCCATCATTCGGTCAATCTTCTGTGCCTCGCCAGGAAGCCTGAAACTCCAGAGGAACTGCCTGTGCAGAGACCAACATCAAGGATATTAGTACGAAGGATATATCAAATCACAGCTGATATCACACATTACACTGGATTGAAGGATATTGTACCCAATGTGGTTTGTGTTGGCAAATGTATTAAACCTTTCGCAAATTTCAAACATGCACAGTATACATATTATTTACAGCTATAAACACAACTTTTACCTGAGAGCCTGAACCAGGTTCAAATCAGTGAACTCATGCAGCTCCACAAAAGCATGAAGGACCTGGAGATTCAATTCATCCCTGTTGAACAATGTGGAAATGAGAGCAAGTGGTAAGTATTATTCAGCAGACACTTTCATCCAAAGCATCTTAATGCCCGTTCACACCGAGAATGATGACTATAAAGATAACTATAATGGCATTCACACCAATGGAAGATAACGTTCTGTTTATTATAAGCGCAAGCTGCAGTTTTGGCGACTGTCGCTTTAAATGCTCGAGCTCTTTAAAGCAGGACGGATTCTGATTGGCTGTCAATGCTGGGGGGGAAATCAATCTAAAGTGATTCCAATGATATAGTTTCTCTGTCCCATTATGTGGTGTGGAATATGATCTATAGATAATTTATCTGTATCATTATCGCTAATGCTATGAATGGGCCTTTATTGGAGTAACAGAAGTTTAAAGGGATAGTTCACTCAAAAAATGCTGCCATCAAATACTCAAGTCGTTCCAAACCCACAAGACTTTAGTTCATCATTTATTTACCATATACTGATGTGCTCTATATATGTGTGTGTTGACGAATGTTTATGTGAATAAAAGCCTACATTTAATCTGTTCGTCATAAATATAGATCATGTCTCTTCAACAGTTTTGCATTAAACCACTCGATTCATATGGATTGCTTTTTCAAAGTCTTCATGAACATTTTGAAACTTGAAAGTTTTGGTAGAATTAACAGAAAGCTCATATATTTCATAAAAAATATCTTCATTTGGGTTTTGAAGATAGGTTTAGAACGACATAATTGATGACCATTTAAATTTTGTAGTAAACTGTCCCTTTAAGGAATAATTCACCAACAAATAAATATTCTGTCATTTTTTTTTAACCACACTCATGTCATTGTATGGCTTTCTCTCGTCCATGGAACACAAAAGGAGACATTTTACATAATTACTGCCCTTTTACATGCATTAAGGATAAGTAAATGTGTCACTCATGTGGTCTCTTGTCTATAGGTGCGTCCCAATTCGCATACTTATGCACTATTCTATGATGTTTTTAAGTATAAATAGTGTGAGTAGTGCGTTTAATGAAAATTAGGTGCACTTTAAATACCCGGATGATGCATTAAATTAACGGAAAAAGCGAAGTGTGGAATATTGGACACTTCATGCACTCGACCGCCACATCTTTAAGTACGTAGTGGACGGGGCGGGGCATCAGACTCCAATGTTGAGTGACAAAATAACCTTATAAAATGAACACTACACAGATGAGTACATAGTGCATAAGTGTGTCATTTGGGACGCAGCTTAAGACTCGAGACGAAGTGGATGTGAGATCATTCAGGACTGCATTATTTTTCGAAAGCATGACATTTACTCTCTGCAAGCGGAGGATGTGATATCCCACATGGGGAATGAGGGCGATCTCGTCCTCTCTACACCCTTTCCCGGTGATCTGGTGACGGTCCACAGCCCTGCAGACCCCCTCCCTAACAGAGACAATCTGATCTGCTGTCATAGAAAGCTCTGCTCTGTCTCCTGAGCGTTTCAGCAGCCACACCCAGACCGAGGAGGAACAGAAAACAAGGAGGCGGACGCAACGAAACCCAGCATGAGATCGAGAGAGAGAGAGAAAAGAAGGAATTCTTGTGCAGACGCAACCATGTCACTAGGTGTTGCCCAGTGAACTAGAATAACATGTCTGAATTTCAGTCCTGTTTGAGTCAGCATTCCTTAAATATGAAGAGTCTAATGAGCTTAGAGTCCGGATAAAAGGGCAATCAGGGATTCACAGAACAATCCACATTATCCCGTCTCTCAGCAAATTACAGTGGGAAGATGACACTGGTTTCCAGGAATTAACCAGAAGGGCCAGTTGATAGATATTAGGTGGATTTAAAGTTGTAGAAATGCTGCTTCCATCCTCTGACGTCGCATTTTAACATGATATGCATTTTGGTGATTCCAACATAAATGGCCAATTTATAATATTTTATTGATTCAGATTTTAATTATATAGCATTTAAATAGCAATGCAAATATACCACACCAAAGCAATGGACTGACATATAAACTTGGGTTCTAAAAGTGCGGTTACACTAACCAACGCTCAGCAAAACGTATGAAAATCCAGTCATTTCAATAGAAATCTTTGCAATTTGGACTTTCCCATAATGGCATTTCTCCACATATTTCACATCCTGTTGGTGTTTTTCATGCAAACTCGTCGCGTTGACCAACAGAAAGGTGCTTGGTTTGAAAGTGACTTTTGTGTAAGTAGTGCTTTGTTCATCACTCCTCTATTGATAGACTTTTTACCTGTGATATTGACTGAAATTTCACTAATGTGACCACGCCTAAAAGAACCAAAAGCTACAAAGCACTTCGATATCCCTAAAACCTGAAACAATGTGCATGAATTGATCAAATTATGAAATATTGCACTTCAACAATCACTATTTCAACTGGTTTCTGTCCGTTCATTTTGTCTTTTAAAGGCCTGTGACCCCATCACCGACAGTGTCGCCACCAAATCCCCAAATGTTTAGAACGGCCCTTTATCTGGCCCAGCGGATGTGCACTAATAACCACACACACCTCTCTCCGAGGTAGTCTCCTATTGCAGTCTTGTTAAGACCTTCACCCTTGTAGAGGAACCGTGCGATGTCTTCACTGGTGTTCTTCAGAAGGTCGTTTTCAATGAGGAACTGGATCCCCTGCAAACACACACGTTCAAGGTGTTTAGCCTCCAAGACAAATGACACGCATAGAAATCATTCAGTGAATATGCTTTAATAGACCGCTTAATCACCTTTTTGGGGTCCATGTTGAATTTCTTACGGCCCATTGCCACTTGTTTGTTCCTTTGCATGTTTTTCCTGCGGGGACAATGGTCAGTAGATTATAAACTGAACTCGTGACGTCACAAACCAAAGATGTCACAAGGTTTATTTCATATACTTCATAATCTCTGGCTGATGGACCCAAAACTGAAACTACTACTGCATTGAGCAAAGAGGTCTTGTGGAAACCACCTGGGATTGGGAATCACAATTTGGTTCTCATTTTGAACAACACTTATAAAAAGCACTGACAGTGTTTCCTCAGCAAGATCTCTGAAACTTCCCTACTGTCACTTACATTTACTTGAATAGTTGAACAGATTCCACTAAAATAGGATGAGTTGACATTCAAGAAGATGGTGTAGCTAAAATGCTAGGCAGATTTGACCTCACGCATGACTCACAAAGTGTAAATGAAGTGTGTATGAGTAAGTGTGTGACGCGACGTCCACTCACCTCTCCTCGGTGGAGCCCAGGTTCTCAATCTCACTGGTCACTTCGGCGATCTCATCCTTCAGACGCTGTGGTAACAGGACATGAGAGGGTTCAAATAATAACGCCACACCATAGTGGTCAATACAGATGAGAAATGAAACAACAACACACACACACACACGTGTCTGGAGTTGTGTTGTGAGTGAAACAGTAACCCAAACAAGAAACACGGTGTCCTAAAATGGAATTTTCCAGCAGCAAGTACTTTTCATACAATCTGTAAATAGAGAAAAGTAGATCCGGCGACTTTTACGCGTGCGGGAGTGGCAATAAGCGAGAATGGTTGACATGGAGCTACTTAATCTCGAACCTTCGGGAATCACCCGTTTAAAAAGAAAAGACGCTGAACAGAGGAGAGTCTGCTGGTAAAAAGAGATCGCGACAGAGCTTGTAATAAAACAAGAACCAACATAAGCTTGGCTTTTCAGAGATGGCGAGAGTTAGGCTTGCTACGGTAGTCGGTGTAACACCGGTTTCATCACTTGTCCACCGCGACACCAAAAAAAAAAAAAAAAAAAGGAATATAGGCATATATTTATATATTTAACGCGCGACCCACAGAAAAGATGCGCGTCAGTATAGGGTTCTCTTTCGGCCTTGAACAAACCATAACACACACAAATTATGCCAAAATGTCAGTTTTGTCGAGTGTCCTCATAAGAGCAGTCTTAAATGATTTAAATAAAGTCTTAAATTAACGTAGAGATTTGTGAGAAAATGGGACGCGTGTCGATCGCGTCTCTGTCAGCAGCTGGTCTTAAAGTGTCATTAAAGTTAATCAAAGAACAAAGGTCATAGAGTAAATGACTCACTCAGACCCGGAGCCAGGAGGATTATTACACCGGTAGCCTAATGATCATGAATGCACTGCTATCTTTAACACATCTCCGGCGAACGGCTTCTTCACGCAAAAGAAAAACTCTTCATGAAGCGCAGTGAAATTCAGCGACCTATGGCGTTTCCTGATGGATCGAGGTTGTTCGTTAACTTAATTTTATACGTGCAACTCACGTAGCCTATAAGGACACTGTACGTGCTGACAGACAGGACCGAGCAGGTAATATTTAATATGAAACAAAGTCTCAACTTTCAAATTTGGTCAGTCAAAGAAAATTAAACAATAGGCCTACCGTTTTGTGGCTCCATTGTGTCGTGAGAGATAGCCTCAGTTAAAGACAAGTTCAAATCCACCGACGTTAATCTACTAATCTAGACTACTAAACTACTACTCTCCTGACTGCTTTGTCGGACAAAAATGATGGATTTTGATTTGTCAGATCACATCAAACTCCCTGCGAAGGATGAATTGACGCTAATGTATAAGTGAAAGTGAAGTGCACACTGCTGCACAAGTTTTTTATAAGCGATGTAAAAAAAAGTAGTTTCGTTTTCAAATGAGCGGCAATTCAGCGCACAATAACAAAACAGTGTTGCTCCGCACGACCACCAATATGCATGCCCGTGCAAACGCGCGCATTTTACATGTGCCTTTAAATTAGCGATTTAAAAGCCCCCGCCGGTGATACCGGTATTACCGGTGTTGTAACACGTCGATTAACCGGTGTGAAAAAATCCTCACCGTCACATCCCTAGCGAGAGTACGGCGGACGTAAGGAAGTGCAATGTCTATTAAAGGGTTTAGCTACAGTAAATCTTCAGCTAGTCAGTTTGAGATCCTTTCCATCTAAACTGGTTATATCTTTTAAACCTAGTAGTGGATGGCAGTGAGAAAGAAGCAAGAGAGAGTATGTTGGCCCTCTCTGCATGCGTCCTGTCCCACCCCACGAGGCCTGACATTAACGGCTCAAATCTAATTCCAGCGGATGAATCGTTTGCTCTAGACTGCTCTGTTTGATACATGACATTAGAGGAGGACAACTGGAGAACGGCCCCAAGTAAAGACTACAGACATCGAAATTGGATTATTTGACCATGTCTTTGGAGAGATTAATGGTTTTATGACACAGGCCTGTCTCTTCTGCCAAGAGTTTAGTGACGGTCTGGAGCCGGGCTGGTCCTGAGGTCACCCAATGAAGAGTTTTTCATTTTCAGCTGTATGGTGGTGAAATCCACTCTCAAGTGTTTGTCAAGCTCAAGTTATTTCTCCTGTTTCTAATTCACTAGCAAAGGAAAGCCTGTTTTTGTTTTCCCAAAACCAGAGAAACCCCACATTCCTCAGACGTTTGTCCTCCCAAAGGAAAACTGCCTCGAGAACAGAACCACTTTTGTCAGAAGACCTCAAGATGTAGAAATTCGGTTTGCAAAGGGGGAGGGAAATTGTCTTAGTTTGGTTAACAATATAAACGGAGTGTGCTAGGAAATTATACAGTCCCATGGAAAACGAAAGGAATTTTAAGTAAGTATATAGTATTCTGGAGGTCAGCGTACTGACAGATCAAGTCCATTCGACAGTGTTATAATAGTAGAGCTGAAAGTGATCAGTGTTTGGCTCATGTGTGAGAGTCCTTTTCTAAACAATTCCACCCTGTTCCTGTCAGCTTGAGTCATTTCCTTTTTGGACTAACTGTGTTCATACTTGGTGAATTACAAGTCAAATTCTTATTCCACAAATACTTTTAGATTCCTAAAGTTACTATTCACCCTAAACAATGATGGGTTGTTTTAACCCAAATTTGGGTCAAATATGGACAAACTCAAATGTTGGGTTAAAAATGTAATTTACATTTTTAACCCAACTTTAACTTTCAACTGTACATTTTTGAATGGCATTTTTAACCCAACATTTGGGTTTGTCCATATTTGACCCAAATTTGAGTTGAAACAACCCAGCATTTTTTAGAGTGTTATTTCAGAATAAAACAGTTTCTCATCTTAAATAGCAGCTGTGGGATAAGATTAAGTAATAATATAAACTAATTTTTTTTTTTTTCTCTGTTACTGTATATTTTTTATCTACAATGTGCTTCACACAAAGTGATTAAATACACAGATCCAAATATAGACTTAATACCTGTTTGTTTATTTGACAGTAAAGCACTTAAAATGAACTATCATTATTAACAACAGTAAATATTCCACTCTTATTAAATGTGCCATTGTTCTTTTATAGTATCACACCGAACTGACCGACAGCTTCAGCGATTATAAAATGAATGTAAAATTAGTAAATAAGTCACAAATTGAAGAAATTTTTTTGTTTTTCTTGCGACTTTTTTCCTTCTAACAGGAAGTGGAAATGGTGTTCCTCTGCCGCCATCTACTGGTTATAGTGGTAATTTCATGTTTTTCTTTTTTTAAATAAAAGTGTTTCCTTGCCATAAAGTTTGAAGATGTAGGAAACTAAAACTTCAAGTTTTATAAATCATCACACTACAAAATAATATTAAAATTGGATCATATTTTGAGCTTTGAAGTGCTGGGAAAAAAGGGTAAAGCACTTGAAAGCCCATAAAGTGCTTACATTTCACTCTTAAAAGGTTGTACGAACTAGGGATGTGCATGAATATTCGAATTTTCGAATATTCGATCTGTAATTATTATTCGAAAAATAAAATACTATTCGAATTTTATCGAATTTATGAAGCCGTAGCCTAAATGCTTTGCTGGGCGTAAATGCAGTGAATCCCTGATAAATCCCAAGCACTAACTCGCAGTTATAACTAAATCCTCTGGGTGGCGCTGTGGCGCGTGTTTAACAAGTTGTTTGTATTTGATCACATAATGTCGTCGTCGGCTACCTCGCGAAGTTTGGAATTAGACTACTAGTTGAAAATTATGTTACTAAATGATCTTACAGAAGGGAATTACTTTTGATCAAATGAATTAATTAATCTGAGTTATAATATCATCAACACAATGAGAAATCACATGAAATCCAAACAGCAGGCGACTGAGGAAAGACAGCTGTCCATCACTACGACTGCAGGTAAGCGCAGCTGTAGCGCGCGTGATCCGAGAGATGATAACTTATCTAATAGCAAAATTATTTTTTAGACATATACTTCCCTTAAGTTTCATTGAGAGAGACAGGTTTAAGAACAGAAAACAAAAATTGCTGTTAGAAACTTATAACACCGTGACCGTTTGTGTCTCTGAATCGTCTGTCAGTGCAGCGCGTTTTCTCACTCGAGCATAAATTGCTGGCGGCGTCCCTGCATGTGGACATTATTGTTTTTCTCAACATAAACGTGAAACAATATACACGATAATCATGCTGACTCGAGTGTGTGTGTACGTTCTGTTTGGTATCTGGCGGAGTCTGCTTTATTAGGCGTTTTTCCTTCCGCTCGCGCTGCTTGAGCTTAAATCCTTTTGTTATTTATATTTTGTTTACACATAGGCCAACTGTTTAATGTTTTCAACTAAAAGAAAACTTTAACATATATTGTAAGCTTGTTGTGTATTGCCTAATCGTAAGCTTGTTAAGAAATGGTGACAAAAACTTTTTGAAAAATGTACTTAAAAAATAACGTCTTTTTCGTTAAATGTCATTTAAATAGGCTAAACGAATATTCGAATATTCGATTTCTATGATCCCGAATATTCGAATGCATTATTTTTGAAAAATGCCCATCCCTAGTACGAACCCTGAGATGATGTAAAAAAAAAAAACATTCTGCCACAATACCATGGTTACAGTTAGCATCGCTACATTGCTGCATGGTGAATGTTTATGATTTGTGGATTGAAAAGCCTTTCAATCAGTGCTGTTTCATCGGATATCTATGGTTTATAACATAACTCAGTGCCGAATTTAAATGCTTCCCACTAGATCTCGATGTTATTTATTCTTCGGTGAATTCAAACGATGAGTAGTTACGGTGTCGCGTGATCGGCCTGCGAGTAAACCTGTTCTGAGCTCGTGCTACTCTCTAATATTGATCCGAGCTGATAAACTGTCAGCGCTGCGCATCTCAAACGAGAAGGTTTCCACATCCATATGCAACATAAACATATTTGGCCAACGTGCTGGTGGCACCAATGCGACCTCTAACAAAATTTAGTCGCACCGGTGGGAAAAAAAGGTAGCAAAATGCTCAATTTGGTCGAAATCTGGAGCCCTGAACTGTAGATTATTAAATGAATAAGCCAGTCAAATCCATGCGTGATATTGTGATAATATTCAGAAGTCAGTCACGCCTTATATTAGAAGTTAGAGTTGAATAAAGTCTTCATTACCTGAATGTCGTCCAGCAGCTCCTGCTTTCGGCGGCGGATGTTTTCCAGTTCCTTTTGCTCCTCAGGCGTGAGGTCGTCAGGCACTGAGAATGAGATGAAAAAAAAAAGTTTTTTTTGTCAAAGCCAGTGACCTAGGCTTACTTTGAACCGAAGAAATATTAAACATTGGTCTGATAATATTTTAGTGATGATATAAGAGGTGAAATGAAGACAGATTAGTGAACGAAAAGACTGTAAACAGAATCGATAGGACACCATATTACCCAGTAGCATCTTTACAAGCACACACGCATCAATAACCAACAAATGACTGAAAAGAAACAATAACCAGGCCTGATTTCCTTGTCACAAATATTGTGATGCACTGTGATATCGGATGATCATGAGGAAAACTACTCCAAATGTGCAAGAGACACCAAGCACAGTGGCACAAGGAAATAAAGAGATCCGTAAATACTTGCAGATGTCCTCAAACTGATCCAAAAGATAAAGCACAAATCAATCAAGTCGCAGTAGCCCGACAAACCAGCCGGAACGACGCCTCCAGCATCACAGAAATGGGCTTTAGTGCTCTCTGGCCAGCCGCCTCAATCACAGGCACAAACTTTTATTCACCATGTGACTGTGAGATCTCACTCACAGCATCCTCCTGTAACCATGGCAACCCATCACTGTTTCAAACCCCATCTGTGAGGGTGCCGGGAACAAACGCTCATCACCTCACAGCACAAAATCCCTATGAAATACGTACACATGCACGTGAAATAAGAGTGAAATTGAATTTTCCTACTGTAACATTCAAAACTCAGTTTCATTAAGTCCCCAGTCCAACCAAAATCATTAAACTTTAACACTTTATCACCACTTATTGAGTCCATTCAGCAGCTTACCCTCCTGGACACATTACAGTGTGTGAACGATGCCAATATGTGGAGGTTAGGGACTCATAACAGGTATTTAGGCCTACATACATTTCTCTAAACAGTAGTTCTCAACCCTGGTCCTGGTTGAGATCACATTATATAACACAAGTGGATTTTAGGGAAAAACTTAATGTTACAAATATATAGTCAATTACAAACTAGATTTTCTACATTAATGACTGAAACAGAGACAAAACACCCAGATTTATGGGAACCAAATATTTCCATGAGAAAAAGTTGTACTCTAAAAAAAACACACATTGGAATTATGTCTATTTTCTCAACATCAGAAGGGAAGTTTATGACCTAAAAAGCAATTTAGTCACCAACGTAATACTGCACAAAATGAATAAAAGCTAATTTGAAAAGAAACTCTTTATTTAACGCTGTAAAAACCCTCGTAAGTTCTGAGAGTCCGAGGGAAAGATCTGGTGAACCACCTGACGTATGCTGGAGTTGGATGATGGAAAACCCCTCGAACACACAGTTCTGCCTCCTCCAGCAGTGAACAATGAAGCGAGGTGGAGAGAGAGAGAGCTCAGTGTTCGCTTTTCTCGAGAAACCCACATGAAGAAAATGAATTCACTGCAATGCCAGAGTAGGATGGACTCCCCACACAGGTTCTTTCCCGGCGCTGCCTAAACATCTTATGAAGTTCTTTCCTTGCCAAAAGTTGCTCAGACTTGCTCTTATGCCGCATTCAGACTACACAATATTTTTGTCTGCTTCGAAAGTCACTGTGTCAGATTATGACTCCTAAATTATAGTGATTTGTGGACATAAGACTGTAAAAAAAGATGTACGAAACACCTTCCATTTTAGAAAAGTGAAGCCGCCAATGTCCCAACATGGCGCTGGCATCTTGCCTATTTAATACTAATTCCAGTACTTTCTGGTTTGCTTAAAGGGATAGTTCACCCAAAAATGAAAACTCTGTCAGTAATTACTCACCCTCATGTTGTTCCAACCCCGTAAGACTTTCGTTCATCTTCGGAACACAAATTAAGATATTTTTGATTAAATCTGAGAGCTGGATCACTCCTCCATAGGCTTCTTAAGGGATTGAAACTTGCCGGCCCAGAAAAGTTATGAAAGACATCGTTAAAATAGTCCGAGTGACTACAGTGGCTCAATCTTAAGTTTATCAAGCGACGAGAATACTTTTTGTGCGCAACAAACAAACAAAAATAACGACATTATTCAACTAATCATTTCCTTCTCTGTATGGCCGTGATATTTCACGTAGTGATATTGCGCAAAGCTTCTTGCATGTCACTCACACGTAGGCTCACTATTGGCCGACGCTGGTCATGTGTGTGATGCGTGACGTACAACCTAGAAGCTTTGCGTAGTTTCACTACGTGAAATCTCAAGGCCAACAGAGAAGGAAATGATTAGTTGTATAAAGTCGTTATTTTTATTTGTTTTTTTGCGCACAAAAAGTATTCTCGTCGCTTGATAAACTTAAGGTTGAGCCACTGTAGTCACTCGGACTATTTTAACGATGTCTTTCATAACTTTTGGGCCGGCCAGTTTCGATCCCTTAAGAAGCCTATGGAGGAGTGATCCAGCTCTCAGATTTAATCAAAAATATCTTAATTTGTGTTCCGAAGATGAACGAAAGTCTTACGGGGTTGGAACAACATGAGGGTGAGTAAATACTGACAGAGCTTTCATTTTTGGGTGAACTAACGCTTTAAGCGTCTCTGCTATCGTTCTCCAGTATTTATTTCGTGGTCGTCCCTCGAGGAAACACATCAAATGCAGGAGTATTGCTTCCATTGCATAATTCCACCCAGCAGGACCAATACCATCATCTCTCTTTGGTTTCGCCATGTTTGAAAGCTGTGTATGGAGGAGCTTCTGTGCTCCTATTGGTCAACGTCATAGATGAGGATTGAAATAAATGAAACATGCTAGTATATCTGTCATGACGTCGTGAGCTTCACCGTCGGTTGTTGTCCACTATGCCACACTATACAAGCTTTTTAAACTATTGATCCCGGCATCCCAATGCCATTGTTCAATTACGAATCATTAATGCATGCCTAGTTAGACAATATAAAAAGCACTATGTTTTCAAATCACTTGACTTGAATTAAGACACAAGTAGCACAACCTATCAACAGCTAGCCTATCTGCTGCAGCTCAAAACTGATAAATGAGTCAATCTCAAAATTTGTTGGCTGCATGATCAGATCAGGTCTGAAATTGAGTAATGTCAGTGCAACAGTCAGTCAGTGGGCTGCTAATCAGAATCACCCACACATGCTAATGCTACAACATCCCACACATGAACCCACACACACAGCTAGAGAGACCAGTCACAAACAAAACCCTTCTTTCTGTCCCCGTCCACCTTATTTTGCAACCTGGAAGTAAGCCGTCTTCTGTGAACGTGCAAGACTTCTGAATATCCGCTTAAGGTGAATCACTAGAAGAATAACAAAGTGCAGTAAACCGTAAAACTCTTTGTGCTACAAACCAGTATGTCTATGATTGTGATAAATTAAAATTCTCAGGTATGCACTAGGCCTATATCAAGCAGCATAGAGGACTGTTTTGTCAAATATCTAGAAGCAGAAGACACTGGAAGCATTACAGTCATGCATTTCCGAGTGTTGAAGATTAACCGATTAACCGACAAAGGGCCATTATACTAATGTCTTGTGGCACTCTATCTAAGTGGCATTGGGAAGTTTTTCTTTATAATGAAGTAGTCTGTATTTAGCAGATAAAAGAGTCATTATCACTTCCACACAGGTATAGAAATTCTACATTGATTGAAAAAACGTTGATTATGTACGAAAAACGAAACGTAATTTTTGGTATTGGGATGAAAACATGAAAGGTTCATATTCCAAGAAAACCAACATGTCTCTGACTGATAACAGAAACTAGAGATTCAAAGAGCCAAAACCTGCATCTCTCGACTTGCGTCTTGCACACCCATGTTCTGGATTTGTAAAACACAGCTTAGCTGGTTTGATCAGGGTATTATCCAGAACAAGCTTATTCATTGACCTCGTTTATCATGTGCTTTTTTTGCTGACATATTTAGTGTGCGTGCTCACATCTCTCCACTTACAGCAGCAGGAGTTCTTCCTGACCTGTTTCTGTGGGACTATTTAAGCCGTGAAGAGTGAAGAGTGTTTTGCTCTGATCAGTCACAAAAGCAGCTCTATAATCGCTCGGATTGAATGGTAGGGTGAAGGCCTTCCTAATGGCAGAGGCACCACAACCCACAATTACAGAGAGCCTCTTGAGTAAACCCTTGAAGACCTAGCCCAAGCTCCATGTTGTCAGGATTGGCACACTCTTATTTTCCGTCCAGAACCTTTGGACAACTCTCCTCGCAAAGTCAGGACATTAATACTTGAGGATCTCCTCCTTCAGATTTAACCCAGTTTAACATGTGCCTACGGGAGCCAGGGAGCAAAAAATATGCCCACACCATCACTTCTATCAAGAGCTCAAGAGCTTTAATATACAACGACTGAGCTGCAGAGAAATGCATCAGCTGAGCTCTGATTTCATTCCTGATTATTGTAGGAATATAAATGACCATCAGTAACGGTAACAAAATTACATTGCTAAGGCAACAGACAACTGGAGCTGCTGGATATGGAAAGTACATGCTAACAGACATTCATCTCAGGGACTGGAGCAAGGGAAAGTGTCCTGCAGTGTCACCATAAAACACCACTATGGGCATGTTACAGATAGGGGTGTGCACCAATATTCGAATATTACGATCTGTAATTTTTATTCGAAAAATAAAATACTATTCGAATTTTACTACGTTGCTTTGCTGGCTGTAAATGCAGTGAATCCATGATAAATCCCAAGCACTAACTCGCAGTTATAATTAAATGCACTGGGTGGCGCTGTGGAGCGTGTTAACAAGTTGTGTGTATTTGATCACATGATGTTTTGGAGTGCCTCGCGAAGTTTGCAATTACTTGAAAATTGTGAAAATGATCTTACTACATGATCTTACAAAATGGAATTACTTTTGATCAAATTAATTAATTAATCTGAGTTATAATATCATCACCACAATGAGAAATCACATGAAATCCAAACAGCAGTGAATGAGGAAAGGCTGGTGTCCATCACTGCATTCACGACTGCAGGTAAGCGTGATCCGAGATGATAAC